TTCTTTATTGTCATTACACAAGTGCAACATTGCACAAAGTGCAACGAAATTGGATGCCATCCCTTAAAACAACAAAAGCAAAACAACAACAACAACCAAACAAACCACATTCCAGCCACACCCACACCAACACCCATCAAACTCCCAGGTCACACTATCGAGTTACAGCATTCAAAAAGGCCACAGCTCTTGGATAGAAACTGTTTTTCAGTCTATTTGTCTTTGACTTGATGTTTCTATATCTCCTGCCAGAAGGCAGTAGTGCAAACAGACTGTGTCCCGGGTGAGATGAATCCTGCAGGATGTTATTTGCTTTCCTAAGACAACGGGAACCGTACAGTTCTTCCAAAGATGGGAGAGGATGACCAATAATCCTTTGGGCTGTGGTTATGACCTTCTGGAGCACCTTCCTCTCCCTAGCTGTACAACTGGAGAACCAAGCACAAATACAGTATGTAAGAATGCTCTCTATGGAGCCTCGGTAGAAGGACACCAGCAGTCTCTCACTCAGATTGTTCTTCTTTAAAAGTCTGAGGAAATAAATTCTCTGCTGGGCCTTCTTCACCAGAGCAGTGGTATGTGCGCTCCAAGTCATGCCCTGATCGATAGTTACTCCCAAAAACCTGAATTCCGCCACCCTCTCCACCCGTTCCCCGTTGATATACAAGGGCTGAATGTTCGCCTTTTTTTTCCTGTAATCCACCACCAATTCCTTGGTCTTAGCCGTATTAAGAGCTAGATTGTTCTCTCCACACCAAACACAGAGCCGCTCCACCTCGTCCCGATAGGCGGACTCATCCCCTCCTGAAATGAGCCCTACCACCGTAGTGTCATCAGCAAACTTGATGATTTTGTTGCTGGAATAGATAGCAGTACAGTCATACGTATAGAGAGCATAGAGCAGGGGACTCAACACACAACCCTGTGGTGAGCCGGTGTTAAGGCTAAGGGCTGTGGACATATGTGACCCTACTCTAACCCTCTGAGAACGTTCTGACAAAAAATCCAAAACCCAGAGACAGGTTTTTAAAGGAAACTGACAGAGGGCATCTTGCCTCCATTCAGCAACTACCACTCTTGAAACACCCATTATTTTGCCCCCAACACCCTCTGAAGAAAGTATCAGGAGGCACGTCACACTCAGGTCAAGACATGAAAGGTCATTTATTTACAAGGGAATAAAATGTTAAAATATTTTCCAATATTGTTGTTGTTGTTGTTATTAATTTAATTTATATACTGCCCTATACCCAGAGGTCTGATGTCAACATTAATCAACAGTCCACAAATGCTGACTACTTTGCACTTCTTCAGTGTGCCAAACTATTGCCTTCACTGACCTTGGTTTTAAGACATAAGGCTACCACAGCCCCACTGAACCACAATATTACTTGTCAGGGAACTGACATCAGAGACACGGGAGAAGGAGAGGGTCTCAGATTCTGCAGGTGAAGGTCCTAGCACAAGGGGGAGACTCAGCTTGGTGGAAGGGGAAGGAAATACACGTGACACCAAGAGTCCAGGAGAGCAAGGGGAAGAGGAGGTGGAAGGGCTCCGGGATTCTTCCCTGGAAGTCAGTGAAGAGAGCCCAGGCACTCCGCTACCCACGCCCACCCTGCGCAGGAGACTCCCACGCAATGAGAGGCGGAGACGATTAGGTGTCAAACAGCTTTTATGCTGGCAGAGGTTTAAGAAACGCCCACAGACAGATTCTGCCAGTGACTGAGGCAGTCAAGCGGAGATGGGCTGTGCAGTCCGAAGGGTTTAACCAGGCAACCAAGCACCCAAACGGGGTCGGCTTACGCACGAGTAACTCCAAACCACTACATTACTTATCTGGAGCATCAGAGGGGTCACTGATATTGGTCCATCAGAATACTTCGTTTAGTAATGTTTTTTTTAAAAAAATGTTTGAGATTCTTTTTGTTTTTTTGTTAAGTTTGCTGCATTAACTGTGAGATCTGTAGCTAACCTCCTTCGTAATATTTTATTTTGAAATCTTTAAGATAATATTTTAGTTTCCTGTAAATTACCGTATGTTCCTTTAAATGTATACTTTATATTTGCCTTTCTTTAGTAATGCTTTATTTTGATTGTTTTATTTGATGTTTAGGTTGTAAACTGCTTTGGATTCCCCCACCTTAAAAATATAAAGTGGTATAGAAATGAAATGAATAATAATAGGCCTCACCCTTCTGCCTCCTTGAGAGCTCTACCTTCCAGCCCCTCTCTGAACAAAAGCAGTGGCAACCAAAGAGAGAGAGAAACCAGGGGAGTGATGAGGGAGGCAAGCAAGCTTGAAGGCTCAAACATGGAGTGTGGAGACTAGGGTAGCCTAGCTTCCTCCAGAAAGTCATTCTAACCTCTGTACTTCAAGGTCAAGCCTCCAAGCTCATACATGGAGCTTCAGCTTTCTAGTTTTGTAGTAGGGTGCAAGGAAGCGATCTCTGTGGCATGGAATTTGCAAGGTGGCACTCACTGGCTCCATTTGAGTTCAAGGACCTGTGACAAAGGATCAACTAAGAGTCAGGTTCCTACAATGAGCTCAAATTTGCAAAGGCTGCTGGGCATTCTTAGCAGTTATTAGTTTAAGTTGGATTTGCTGGAACCGCAGTTCAGTAACTTGGCATGGCCTTTACTAGGGTAGGATATACAAAAGTTGATGACAGAAAAGTAGTCAGGAGCCCAGTCCACCTTTGACATTATGTCCACCTGCTGACAGCCCCTGACCACATATCTGATAGAATGAAGCCCTCAGCACTAACAACAACAGGTCCCCTCTGTTGCTGTGGATCAAAAGTCTCTCTTCCTTAAAGAACGAAGATGGTCCTTGGAGTGACTTCACAAGAACAAAAAAATTAAGAAGATGCTGAATATTTTGTAGCAGAAGAGACATGTTGTAGAACATCACACCCAAACCACAGGGGCCACTACTTAAACTTGCAAAGCAAAATAAATAAATAAAGGGGCACATCATGCAACTGGGAGAACCTACTGCATGAGAGTACTCAACAGCTTGGCAAGACCAAGTAAAGGACTATCTGTTATTCCCTCGAAGGAGTGATAGTGATATGAACCCATTTCCAGATATCATCACAAACACACACCGGGAACTTTTCTTGCATTTCTCAAGCCCTCTGTGTAAAACTGTTACTGAAGCTGGGAAGGATTTTTGTTTTGGGGGGGGTAGATTTTAAGAAGATAAACAGTCTTGCAAAAGTGTTTCGCCACGTTTTTGTTGCTGTTTTATTTCAGGAAGATAGTTAAAGCTGCTGGCTACCCTGAATGTTCCTCAGAGAGAAAGATAATGCAGAAAGATATGGGCTGCAAGTTAATGAAAGGATCCCCCCCCCCCGGACTCCCCTGAATGTTCCTCAAGTCACCCCAGGGTGCCATAGAACACCAGTTGAAAACCAATGCTTTAACTCATTTTCAGGTAGACTTGTTTACAAAAGCTGCTCAGACTTGGATTTTGGCAAAATCACAGTGGGAGGAGTTCCAGAATTGAGAGGCTGTCACTGAGAGCATCTCCCTGTCCTTGCTTATTGAACCCAACACACAGCTGGTATCATTAGCATTCTCCGTATTTCTCAGAACTTTACAACATCATGCTGCTACCAAATCTCCTGACATTAGCAGCAGATGAAAATGCTTTTTACACCTCTGCTGCTGGATATTTAGGCGCCACAGACAACCAAGAGATAAGGTGATCCAGCCTACAAATAAGCAAAAAGCAGAGCCTGTGTAAAACTACCAAATCTACCAGTGTGAGAATCTCAGAGCATGGGTGGGATAAAGGAATATGCTTCAGCTCTTGCAACTGCCATGGCCACAGCTTGATCTGCCCCACTTGACCGAGAAATGAAGATCTGAAGCGCCACACGGAAGGAGGGCACAAGAGTCTCTGCTAAGATTCTCTCGACAGCTGCGTTCTCTGAATACAAGGCGGGAGCGAAGAGGGAGACCAACCGGAGAAAATAGTTTCCGACGGCATACACCACTGTCCATCATTCTCTGCTTCCACACAGACGCCAAATACCCTCTTAACCCCATTCATTGTTCGGATTCGGACCTGTTGCACAGGTGGAGCAGGAAATATAACCTCCAGTATCTCCTACATCCGGGACAACGAAGTCTTCCCCTACGCAGAGCACTAAGCGTGGAAGGGGCTTTAAACAAAACAAACAAGGAGCATCTAAAGCAGCAGCAGCATCTTCACCCGCCTTTGCCACCCCCAAAATCGCCCGAACCCCGAAACTCGCAATACCAAAAGCGGAAAGAGAAATGGGGGGGGATTCCAATCCCAGCCCCACTTTGGACGAGATCGCGCTTACCTTGGGGGAGAAGGGGGGAGAGAGGAGGGGAACCTGTGCCCCCCTCCCCTCGCTGCCGTGTCCGGGCGGTGCTGCTGTCGTCGCCGCCGCCTGCCTTCCTCCTCCTCCTCCTCCTCGGGGCGGGGAAGGGAGCCCAAGGACCCGCTGTGCTCCCCGCTTCCTCTGACGTGAGAGACGGAGCGGAGGTAGAGGAGGCAAAGAGAAAGTGGAGGGGGGGGGGAGAGGCAGCGGGAGGAGGCCCTTCGGAGCAACAAGTGCAGGGGAGGGAAAGACCGCGGGGGGGGGATGGGGCTAGAGGGGGGCGCTGAGGGTCGGAAGGAAGAGGGAAATGGCCTCAGCTGCCCCGGAGGGCCCGTCCAAAGCTTGGCCCAGAGGCGGGGGTCAAGGCCCGGCTCGCTGGAGGGTTGGCAGGCCCAGCGAGCGAGCAAGGCAGGCGGGGGGGGGCCTGGCGCGGCGGCTGTGGTGGTACCTGGCCGAGGGGGCTCGTGAGGACAGGTAAGGCCGCCGCCGGTGAGGAGAGGGGAGAAAAGAGGGGCAAAAGAAGAAGAGGGAGGGAGGGAGGGAGGGAGGGGGAACAACAGCGCCTTTCTCCAAAAAGAATATTTAAAAAAGGAGGAGGAGGAGGAGGAGGAGGAGGAGAAAGGGGGGGAGGAAGAAAGGGGGGGAGAAAAAAAAAGAAACAGAAAAAGGGAAAGAAGCGCCGGCCCCTCCCCCTGGCCGCGCGCGCGCGCGCGTGTGTATGTGCATGTGCGTGCGCCCGCCGCTTGCGTCACTCGCCCCCGGTACGTGAGGCCGTAACCCTGCGTGCGTCACGACGCCGACGCCGCTGCCACCGACGCGCCTAGGTCACGGTTGCCTTGGCGACTGCGACGCGCCCGCCCGCCCGCGCGCGCGACCCTGGGCTGCTTGGCTGGCCTTGGAGAGGGAGGGGCGCGGACGGAGCGAGGAGCTGCAGGAATAGCGGCCCGGAAAAGGGACCGGGGCGGAGGGAGCAGCCAGAGCCTACAAATTAGCGTGAGAAAGCATGAAGTCCAGGGAGCTGTATTGCTGACAGGCAGGTAGAGAGGGCTCTGTGTGGCCTCATTTTCCTTCCTCCCCTGGAGAGCAAGGAGCATATAGTACTGACTACAGTATAGTACCGTTGGCTAGTTATTGCTTTTTACAGATGTCAATATCTATTAATTTTATGTACAGATTTTGAGAAAAATCTACCCTGTATGGTTTTTTACTACAGTGGTACCTCGGATTACATACGCTTCAGGTTACAGACTCCGCTAACCCATAAATAGTGCTTCAGGTTAAGAATTTTGCTTCAGGATGAGAACAGAAATCGTGGTCCGGCAGTGTGGCAGCAGCAGGAGGCCCCATTAGCTAAAGTGGTGCTTCAAGTTAAGAACAGTTTCAGGTTAAGAACGGATCTCCAGAATGAATTAAGTACTTAACCCGAGGTAGCATTGTAATGCCATTGTTCTGTCCCGCAGAGCAAGAGGAGGGCACCCAGGATTCAGGATACTCAGGTTCCCAAAGAAAACTACCCACACTAACAGGTTGATCAGGGCATAGTAGTTTATTTAAAGGAAAAGCAAACTCACAACAAAAGGTCTGAAGGCTCCCTCCTTGCCCCTGCTTCCAGCACATTGTGGGACAGACTCCACAGCAAGGAAATGGCTTGTCTGCAACCAGGCCCTGGAGCAAATGCTTTCTATACAGTAGAGCAGCCCACAGGTAGCCATGATCTCCACCACACCCAAGGTTCCCCACAGGCGGCTGATATTGCTCCAATTAGGCTTGGAGCATAGTATCACACACCCATGGATGGTGGTAATGGCCTTCCTTGAGCTGGTCAATTAGCCTGCTTCCCAAGTGTGTTGCATGAAAGCTTAGCGCTACAGCTGCCACTACAGTGGTGCCCCGCAAGACGAAAAACTCGCTAGACGAAAGGGTTTTCCGTTTTTTGAGTTGTTCGCAAGACAAATTTCCCTATGGGCTTGCTTCGCAAGACGAAACGTCTTGTGAGTTCTTGCGAGTTTGTTTCCTTTTTCTTAAAGCCGCTAAGCCGTTAATAGCCGCTAAGCCGTTAATAGCCGCTAAGCCGCTAATAGCCGTGCTTCGCAAGATGAAAAAACCGCAAGACGAAGAGACTCGCGGAACGGATTAATTTCGTCTTGCGAGGCACCACTGTAGTTGTGAGGTTATCTTGAGTATTCAGCTAGTGCTAGCAAAGCTCCTGGAAGAACTCACCTATGGTTCAACGCAGCCATTGCTGTGAACCAATGCATGTTTCTGAAGTAAGTAAACCTTGTTTTCAACTTACTTAACAAGTTGTTACCTGATTCCTTCTTAATGGGGGTGAGGAGGAGGAAGCCAGCTTACTTCATAACTGGAATTGCTCAAAACAAGGTTTTACATCCTACTTCCTATGCTTTTAATTCTGATGCCCTTTAGGCTGGCAAATCCTCTGCATGATTATTTGGGAGAAAGTCCTCATTACACACAGAAAGAGAATATCCCATTAGTTGGATAGATATACATAAGGCGCTTTTCGTTTCAAGGTGAACAGGTGTGCAGAATGGTGGAAATGTGGTCGGAGTTACACTAGGTCATTCCCCACCCCGCCTGCATATTTAGGGTTTTCAACACAAAGCCTCTTCAAAATATATTTATTTATGTTGAAATAATTTGTTTCAGAATATGCCCAAATGCCTCACCTTCTGCTGTAGATGTTACCACACCAGAGAATTTATTATGGCAGAAGCTTTTATGAACAAGAGTCTGCTTTGTCAGATGCATGAAGTGTTATCCGAAGTTGCCTGAGTGAGGTAAAAGGAAAAGCAGAAAGTTCTGCAAAAGTCTAAATTTATGCAAAGGTGTAACAGCAGCCACTAACAATGTAGCATTGCATTCTGGCATTGGTAAGCTAAATAATGCATGTAGTGGGATTGTAAAAATAGACAAACACCCATTTTCTCAATTCAAGCCACAAGTGATAGAAGAGAGATTATAGTTAAGCGGCCCAAGTGCTGTCAGTCAGCCATTATCAATGGTGAGTGCTGGAAGGGAAAGGAACGATGGGGTTGAGGTGGGAGAGGGGACTTGGACGGGCACTTCCAGTGGTTAAGAGATGAGTCTACATGGAATCTACACCAAGCCAGGGTTCCTTTGTCAAGGGTGTCACCCAGACAATTCACATAGTCCCTGAAACTAGCTCCACCCATCTATTGGTCACACTGCAGCACGCGCAAGGAAGATTGGGCTTTTAGGTATTAGACCACATTTATTTAGACATGTGCTTCCTGCTGGGCACCATGTAGCATATCCATCAAAACTGCTTCAAAGCAGGTTGATCTTCCAAGCTTCAAGCATAAAAAAGTGTGCCAAACAGTGCCATAGTCCAAAACATGGCACATCACCAGTACACAAGTTTTGACCTTCAATACACTGCCAATATCAACACATTGCACACCTTTTATTGCTAATGCTAATTTGTATTGCATTATTTCACACTTTCCAAACACCAAAGAGTAGGATGTTCCAGGTCATTTTGCATTATCATTCTCCTTGGGAAGGCAAAGACTAACATCATTTTTGAAATATCAGTTTGTTTACAAAGACACAAATCAAGCTGCAGCAAACTCATTGGCCACATTTGAGTTACCCTTGGCCTGCAGGCAGACCTTTCTCTGACTTCCATGTGAGTCACAGGCCCCCTCCCCATTGCTCAGCTGATTGGTGGTGGAAATAGCTGAGCAACATACTGATAGGCAAGCCCCTCAACAGTTTCCAGCAGAAATCAGCTCTGCAATGAAGGGAGGTGCATGATAGGATTGTTGTTTCATAGGCAGTGGTTAGTGCTAAAGCAGCATCAAATCCAAAAGAGAGTCAGCCCTGAAGCACCAGGCTCCAAAAATATAGCATTTATTTCTCTCTGTGTGTGTGTGGCCAAATTTAAAATGGCTCTATTTATATATGTGTATATATAGCCCTTCCATAGCTCGAGCCCAAACTTTTCTAAAACCACCAAACAGTATGAAAAACCCCACACCAAACTCATTCAAAGGACAAATTACACAGTAGTTAAGTCAATGGAATGAAAACTACTCAGAGCAATAATGCAGTTATATCCATCCAAGACTGAAAAAAATGCCTGGGCAAAAAGAACCTGGTGGCACTGAACTATGTCTAAGGATGAGGCCAATCCAAGTTCCCTAAGAATGGAGCTCAAAATAGCAGGTGCCACCACTGAGCAGATGATGCTGCGCACCCCTTGAGATTCTGCTTGTGAAGGATAGGAGCATTTAGGGGCATGGTGAGGTACATGTGGGAGAAAGCCCTCCCTCCTGTCTTTTGGCCCATATCTCACACTCGGGGTGAGCAAAGCAAGTTCACAGCCTCCACCTTGCCTGTGTGTGACCTGACCATCCAAAGGACCAAGATGATATTTATTATTAGTGGCCCAGCAATACCAAAAGTAAAAGGAGGCATTGAACAATAAGAAAGCATCACTCATATAAATCATTTTTTTTGTAATAATATTTTATTAAGTTTTAAGAATAAAAGACACAAAAAAGTTTTAACAATAAAAGCCCAAGAAAAATGTAAAAACACAAAAATACAAAGTTACAAAATACAAAAATACAAACATTTAACCTAACAAAGAAAAAGAAAAAAAAAGGAAAAACATATAAGCACACGGAAAAAGAAAAACACAAATCCCTCTTTTTTAATTTGCAAAGGGGGTCCTTCAATATTTTCAGTTCAATTGCAGAGTGATCACCTATAGTTACAATGTCTATAAACGGAGCAACACTTTCTGCTGTCCTGGCAGACCAAAATCAGGGGTTAAGCGGTGGTCTTTTTTTCTTTCCTCCCTTTTTCCTTCAATCAAAGTATTTTCTTCTCCTCCCCCCCACTGTGAGAGGGAGTTCTTATATCTGGCATTGAAATTTTGTTCCTTTTAGCTCAACTTTTCCAGTTCTTAGTTCCAATAGTCTTTGCTTTAGTTCTATTTACAAAACCGGAAGACGGACTTCCTTTTTGCGCCTTCCCGCTTCAGTGCCAAATTCAAGTTCGTTGCGTCGATCAAAGGAACGAGTCCTTTGATCTCCCGATCTTTGCAAAGTCTTACTCACGGGTTGTAGTTTAGAAGCCGAAATTTCAAAGGAAAAAGGTCAGCGTTCTCCGGCAACAGCTGTGCAGCTTCACTCCGCAGAAGTAGCGATCGACTCTCAGCACAGCGCCAAACACCCCGTCTCACTCCGGAGCTCCTTACAGGGTTCCTTCGCAAAACGGGGGGGGGGCGCAAAAGGTGCCCGCCGAGTCCCACGGTCGCAGGCTTCACTCGCCTGCGGTTTTCGAAAGGGCCCCCGCTTCGTTGCAGCGGGAAGACCCGGTTTCTGTGGAGCTTCTCCCTCCAGTTCAGAGGGATTCCGCCATTGCCAATGGCGCCGCCTCCGGAAGTCCATATTAATCATTTTTAAAAGGATTGGTCTTTCCCCCACCCCACCCCAAATAGGGTCCTAACAAACAAAAGGGCAAACATAAGACTTGCTAAGTGTGGGTACCTTATGATGAGAAGAGTCCTGGACTTTCTTCTGGAGCAATAAGGGACTTGCAAAAACCCTCTCAGTGAATATATGGTTTGGCAGGTTCTGAGTGTATGTTGAACCTAAAAGTCCTATGGAAATGCAGTGAGTCATCTCACACTGGGTTTCTAGTTAACCAGACTCTGTCCAAAGTATTCTTGTCAGCACCCTCAGAAGCAAGAATGCCTACATCACTGAGGGCTCTACAAAAATCGTATTGCCCCCCCTCCCCGCCCACCTCTGATATCTTCAACAATAAAATGTCATCTGTACTGTTATATTTATTCAGAAGAACGCATAACAAATATAAACAAACAAGGGTTGTCAGCTACAAGATACAAAACTGAGCTTAGTTAGAACACACAAAAGGATCATCACAAGAAAAGTCATGGGCAGTGATGCAGGAAAACACAAATATCTAATTTAGTCTGATAAAAGCCCAGTGTGTACATCCCTTCAGATCTGCAAGGAGAATTGTGAGCCACAGGAAATCCAAGTTCTTCCAGATGAGAATGAATAATGCCTCTTGTGGTTTCATCTCAAGCCACCCTACAGTGTGTGTAAGTTTGTCAGAGCCAGATACCCCATATTGTCATACCATCTACCAAGAGCGCAGTCTTCTGTTCTTTCCCAGTTAAGTGCTACTTCCATACACATGGCCACATGTTCGGAGATCATATGGGATATCATTATTGCACCTGCTAAAGAGGGAAAACAGGACGAGCCCTGACTCCACGGTGCAACACCTCAGAGATAATTTTAAAGACAGCTTACCCTAACCTTGGACACTCCCACCAGAGTGGCTTGACACCCCCTCCAGCATAGAGATGACACAGAATGATTAATATAACTACCTGTAAGTTTCACTAGGCTCCAGTGCTACATGTGAATAATGTTCAACATTGACTCTTTGATCCTAGCAGAGATAGTTCTGGAAGGAGGTGCACACCACATTGTCATCCATTCCCCTTCAGTGACAGCCTCACTTCCCAGAATTGCTTATGCCCACCTCCATCTCTAAATTAATAGTCCAGAATTATGTTGTATATATCTGCTGCTAGGCCCTTCACTCATCTGGTACTGAACAGAGCAAGAGATCATGGTGCTCCCTGAGTGCAACCTCACAGTAATGCATATGATGACACCTGCAACTTTGAAGCCGATTGAGGGCTTATCCACATTTCCTCTTGTCCCGCTGCTTTCCCTTGGGGGAAACTGCTCTTTAACACTCAGTCAGAGCAAACAGCCATCTGGGTTTTCCTTGGACCGCCATTTGTTCAAGTGTGGGTTTTACCTGGAAAAGGAGCGGGGCAAGGGGAAAACCGCTCAGCCCCATGTTTTCTAAGCACAACACAAGCAGAAGTGTGGATAAGTCTTAAGTTCCACCTCCTCCAGCTAAGCTTCCAGCTGTTGCATTGCCAGCAGTTTACACCTCCTGAACAAGTCTTGAATTCTGTGGAATCCCTTCCTTTCTCACCCCCCCCCCCCCGGGCAGTGCAGGAGCCAAACACTGCACATATTTTGCCCACACTTTAAAAGCGGCCTGCAAAACCATGTTCTGTATACGTATTTATTTACATAGTTCTTTTTGTCTGTATACTGTAATTCTAAGCACCATATCATGGGTTCCCTGGTGGTCTCCCATCTGGGCATCTCAGCTGACCCACCAAGTGTCCCTATTTCCAAGGGACAGTCCCAGATTTACAGAAGCCATCCCAGTTTCTGATTTGACCCTGGAATAACCCACTTTTCCTTAGGATATTCCTATTTTTGTTGGAGAAATGCTGGAGCATATGGAGTTATGTGATCCCCAAGCCAAGGAAATAAGTAACTATACAACCTTTAGAAGACATCTGAAGGGAAGGGGTTTTCTTGGTAATGTTTAATGATGTTTTTGTATAAGTTGGAAACTGCCCAGAATTACTTGGGCATCATCATAATAATGGAATAGGACATTCCTATTTTCATGGGAGAAATGTTGGAGGGCATGAGACAGATATAGGAGATAGCTAGCGCTCAGTAGATGCAGAAACAACTGCAGCTGGAATCCAAAGGAATAGGCACATTTTGCATATTATAAAAAGTGGAACATGAAGAAAACTTAGCAGTGTCACTTAAGAGGAGCAGTGCTTGTGGCTGCTGGTTTTCTCAGGGCCCAGGGTTGTTGGGTTGTGTGGTTCACTGTGACACCTTCCCTCTGCTGGCTCATTGGTCACCAGAGTGCTAAAAGGCCTAAAGCTAAAGGACCCCTGGCAGTTAAGTCCAGTCGTGGACGACCCTGGGGTTGCGGCGCTCATCTCGATTTACTGGCCAAGGGAGCTGACGTTTGTCCGTAGACAGTTTTTTCCAGGTCATGTGGCCAGCATGACTAAGCTGCTTCTGGCGAAACCAGAGCAGCGCGTGGAGGTCACCTCCAGACTGGATTATTGTAACTCGCTCTACGTGGGGTTGCCCTTGAGACTGACCCAGAAACTCCAGCGGGTGCAGAATGCCGCGGCGAGACTCCTTACGAGGTCTTCGCTGCGAGATCACATTCACCCAGTGCTATACCAGCTGCACTGGCTCCCGGTGGAGTACAGGATCAGGTTTAAGGTGCTGGTTTTAACCTTTAAAGCCCTATACGGCCTAGGACCCTCGTACCTACGGGACCGCCTCTCCTGGTATGCCCCACAGAGAAACTTACGGTCTTCAAATAAAAACATCTTGAAGGTCCCAGGCCACAGAGAAGTTAGGCTGGCCTCAATGAGAGCCAGGGCTTTTTCGGCTGTGGCTCCGATCTGGTGGAACACTCTGTCACAAGAGACTAGGGCCCTGCGGGACTTGACATCTTTCCGCAGGGCCTGCAAGACAGAGCTGTTCCACCAGGCCTTTGGCCAGGGCACAGCCTGACTCCCTCCCTCGGCAATCTTCGCGGAGCTCTGGCCCAATGGTTGCCAGTGGCTTGAATTAATTAATTTTTATAATGAATTATTTTAGAATGTTGTTTATGCTGTACTTTTTGTACTGTTTTATTGTTGTTAGCCGCCCTGAGCCCGGCTTCGGCTGGGGAGGGCGGGATATAAATAAAATTTATTATTATTATTATTGTTGTTGTTATTATTATTATTATTATCATTTCATCTCCTAAGACATGTAAGTAGGATTTCTCTCAGCATCTGCATTCTGTGATGATAGTGAATTCCTCTTGAGCTTAGATGCGTGAATGCCAAAACCAGTTTAGGAACGCAGATCAGGAGAGTACTAACTGTGGGCCCCATTTCTCACATTTTTCTCTTTCTTTCCTAGGCTTTCGAGGTTGAGAAAAGTTTTGTCCCACTTGGGGAGAAGGAATAATGTCTCACCTCTCCTGGAGAACATGGGGGAAGAGACATGAGAAAACTTAGTCGTGTCACTTAAGAGGAGCAGGGTTTGTGGTTGCTAGTTTTCTCAGGGCCCAGGGTTGTGGGTCGCGAGGTTCATTGTGACATCTCCCTCTGCTAGCTCATTGGTCGCCAGAGCTCTAGAAGGCCTGGGCATCTCCTATACTTGGATCATTCTGAGAGAGAGAGAGAGAGAGAGAGAGAGGAGAAGACATGTAAGTAGGATTTCTCTCAGCATCTGAATTCTGTGATGATAGAGAATTCATCTTGAGCATAGAGGTATTAGAGAGTGCTGTGAGTCCCATTTCTCTTTCTTTTCTAGGCTTTCTAGACTGAGAAGTCCTTTCCCAGTTGGGAAAAAAGAATAAAAAATTCCTCTCCCAGAGACCTCCCCCTCGCCCACCGCCTCCCCCTCTGGACCCCTCTTTGAGAGGACACAAAAGGTAAGACCCTTCAGCATATAGATATTGCTTCCAGAGTAATGTTAGTCCTTAAAGTTTCTTAGGAAAGGTCTCTCTGTAACTGAGGCCTATTTTGAGGTTCAGAAAAATAAAAATACCCCATGTGTCTCTTTGTTTCCCTGTAGGCTCTGCGGACCTCCTATCCTGGTCTGGAAGAAGATGGCAGGAGGAAGAAATGCCAAGGAAAACATGAAGGCAATGTCTATTTCCAAGGATATGTTCAGAGTTAATAGGAAACTCCCTAGAAATCAGTTCTACTTGATTGCCTTCTCTTCTTTGCCATTCAGAGATGATATGATAGTTGAATACCTGGAGGGAGAGCAGGGGCTTTGAAGTTCTCCATCATCTGTGCAGCAGACCGAGAAGACAAACAGGTCACCTAGTCACAGTCATCCCTGCTATGGGCACAGGACTTTGGTTATAACATCAATATGGAACAGTGGGGAAGGTTATGGCAGCAAGATATCAAATTTACATCATGTTATAATTTGAGGGAAAATACCATGAAGATGCTCTACCGATGGCATCATACCCCAGCTAAACTCACCAAAATGTATAAAGGAAGCTCACCAATATGTTGGCGTTGCAAAAAGGAGATAGGATCTTATTACCATATGTGGTGGACTTGTATGGTGATAAGCGAGTTTTGGAATAACATATATGAAGAATTTAAAAAACTATTTAAATTTAACATAAAGAAAAGACCGGAGATTTTCCTTCTAGGAATATTACCAACAGAAATAAAGCAAAACACAAGACCACTGTTTATGTACTCAATTAAGGCTGCAAGAATACTCGTAGCCAGAAGTTGGAAATGTGAAAACAACAATACCAACGGAAACACTCATGGTAGAGTATATTCACTTAGCAAAGCTGACTGGAAAAGTTAGGGGAGTCCTAAATCAAAAAGTATAGAGAGAATGGATATTATTCAAGGAGTATATAAGATCACACCATAAAAATTAAATTATCCTGGCAGAATTGAATAATACCTGTGTATAATTGGAAAAATATATTAGAAAAATATGCAGAAAAAGCTATAAAATAAACTGTGCGATAAAATTAAGATATTAGAAAAAGTATCATATCTTGACCAATAAAGTTTTGCTCTAGAAGAACAAAACTTTATTGGTCAAGATATGATAATACAACCGATATTCTTTTATTTTAATGTTAATTCCTCTTTGCTTTTTATTTTTATTATTGTTATTCCTTTTTCATTTTTGTGTGAAATTCTGTTGTAATTATTTGTAATGTATTTGTATGATAGTATTTTAAATCAATAAAATAAAATAAAAACAAAAAAACAAAGTCATCCCTGCTAGGATAAGAGACATCCCTGCTATCTCTTCCAACAGAAACAATTAGCCAGAGCCAAAGAATGGCAGTAGGGATGATGATTTAGGTAAACCAATTTCCTCTCATGTTCTCCTTCGTAGTAAAGGTTCGGGGTGAGGAGCCATGGAACTCCTTGGAACTTGTGGAAGGGCTGTACCTCCGTGGTAGGCAGTCTGACTGACATACAGGAAGCGGACTGATGGAGAAGGGGTGGAGTACCTGCCCCTTCTCAAGTGGGCTGCAAGAGGAAGGATGCTCCCTCCTTTCCAACCAGCATAGAAACACTGCTCTCCACCTTTCCACTGCCAGCCCCTGACAGGCTAGTAAGACTCTTTGCAGGCTTGTAACTTTTGTGGGTTATTCACAGTGCTGTGTTCATATTTGGTTCAATTGTCATTTGTGTTGGTGACTAACTTTCCCCATTGCTGGTTGCTATGCAGGCTTGAGGCCATCTTTTGGCAGATCTGCCTTCATGCTGCCGTTTTCCAGCACAAATAACAACAACAACAATAATAATAATAATAATTTATTATTTATAACAATTTATTATTTATACCCCGCCCATCTGGCTGAGTTTCCCCAGCCACTCTGGGCGGCTCCCAATCAAGTGTTAAAAACAGTACAGCATTAAATATTAAAAACTTCCCTAAACAGGGCTGCCTTCAGATGTCTTTTAAAGATAGGATAGCTGCTTATTTCCTTCACATCTGAAGGGAGGGTGTTCCACAGGGTGGGTGCCACTACCGAGAAGGCCCTCTGTCTGGTTCCCTGTAACCTCACTTCTCGCAATGAGGGAACCACCAGAAGGCCCTCGGCGCTGGATCTCAGTGTCCTTCTCAGTGTCACACTCCTTCTGTCGCTTGGTTCCTCAAACGTCGAGGGCTGCGAGCACAACCATGAACCACAGAACTGAGCACAGGAGTTTTCCCTCACTCTCTACCAACGCTGGGCAGAGATCAACCACAGAACCAACCAGAGCCGTCTTTCCCATATGGCTTAGTGGTGCGTTGCGCCAGGGCGCCGGCCTCTCAGGGGCTCCCCAGCAAGTGAGGGAGCTGCGCAGCTTTGCCGGCAGCTTCCCCTTTCCCTGCACACCCACCAGCTGTGCCCCGCCAACCATATGGCTGGCGGGCATGCAGCTTGCCTTCCAAGCCTCCACGGGAGGAGAACGATCCCTGCAGAGGCTTAGGATGGAAGCTGCGCCCCGCCAACTATATGGCTGGTGGGCACGCAGCTTCCCTCCCAAGCCTCTGAGGGGATTGCTCTCCCGCAGTGGATGGGGGAGATTTGCACACCCCCCCATATCTGGCAGTGCACAGCTTTGCTGCCGCCCCCCACTATCCGTGGTAATATGGGGGCACTGAGTGGATATTTGCACCCTGGTGTCTCTTTCTTTGGGGCTTCTGCATTTTGGGGCTGAAGGAGCACATTGGCCCAACTGCAGCATGCTCTGAGAAACAGCTTTTGGGTGAACATGGCATGCTGTCGTGAATGTCACCTTGCAGCTTGTCTGCCCTTCCTCCGAGACAGCCGCTCGCCTGGGGCACCAGGGCCGCCCGGGTCACGGTGGGCTCTGGAGAGGAGCGGGGACGAGGGAAGAAGCGCTGGTGCCACTATGGGAGACCAAGGGGCGGAGAGAGCCAAGCCCAAGTCCCCCCAGAGCCAGATCTGCCCCCCTACAAAATGTTGAGAATGGTATTAGTAGTTAGCTGTAAAGAAGGGAAGAAACTACTGTTCCCATTATCCCTAACCATTCTAGTTGGGGTTGACGGGAATTAGAACTCAAGAATATCTGGTGAACCATATATTCCCAACCCCACTGTTAATCCTGGAAGAAGTCCCACTGAATGCAGTTGCGCTTACAACTGCATGGGTAGGATTGCACTGCCTATTTCGCAAATAAAACTAGCCAGATAAACAAACATGCTGGAGGTAGCATTGTATTCTCCTTCTCTGTTTATTGGGCAAGTTTGTACATACAGTGGTGCCTCGCAAGACGAAATTAATTCGTTCCACGAGTTTTGTCGTCTTGCGATTTTTTTCGTCTTGCGAAGCACGGTGTCGGGAAAGTTTTGGAAAAGCTTCAAAAATCACCAGTCTTTAAAAACCTCAAAAAAAGGCTACCACACCGCGTTCTATGAGTTGCTCCTCGAAGTCAAGTCGCAACTGTATTAACGGTGTTAAGAAAAAGGAAACAAACTTGCAAGACGTTTCCGTCTTGCGAAGCAAGCCCATAAGGAAAATCGTCTTGCGAAGCGGCTCAAAAAACAAAAAACCCTTTCGTCTAGCAAGTATTTTGTCTTGCGGGGCATTCGTCTTGCGAGGTACCACTGTAAGTTGTTGTGCTATATAAAATAATTGCTTCTGCAAGATGATACTGTGACTTTTAACCTTTCCTGTTTTGGTTGCTTCTGTTTTAATAATTCTGTATAATTCTTTATTTTATTTTTCTTGTACTCTTCATATAATTGAAAATCAAATAAATTTGGGTGGGGGTAGCATCTAGCACGGGGAGCACAAGGCCCTCTTAATGTTATTGGACTCCCATCAGCCTCAGCTGACATGGCCAATGGTCAGGGAGGATGGGAGTTGTAGTCAAGCAGCATCTAAAAGACCATAAGTTCCCTGTCCATAACTGAAGTGAACATAACATCCAAACTGCTAATCTAACATCAGATATATATCATCAGTACCTCTCCTACAAATGAAAAACAAAACAAAATAAATCTCCTGGATTTCCATGAATTATAGTTTTCATATATGTATTATTAATTATTAATAAAATACACATCAGTAGTTAATTAATCTATATATCACTGGCCCATCATGAAGTCTCTCTAGGATCATGAGGAACCTGTGGCCCTCCTTTTGTTGCTGGACTACAATTCCCCCCATCCCTGAACATTGGCCATGCATGCTGGCTTGGGCTGCTGGGAGTTGGAGCTGGAAGTTGGATTGGTCCAAAGTTTCAGGCAGAGATAAGTCTTCGCCAATCCTGTTTCTTAAAGTCCTTTTAACTGGAGATGTCAGACTGAGACTGCAATTCCAAGCATGTTTACTGGAAAGACCCAATCCATTCAGTGTGACTTACTTGCAGATAAACATGTATACAAGTTGCAACCTGAATTTAGGGTCTTCTGCTCCCAGAGCAATCAATATGTGCTCCGCCTTTTTCCTGCTGCCCCTCCCTGACATCACACAAGAGTCCTGGTGGGCAGTCAGTAGGTATTGGCTCCAGTGACAAATCAAGAACAAGGCTTCCCAGGAGGGATCAGATCCAGCAATAGTCTCGTGTTGCTGGCAAAAGTACATACCCAGCATGACTGATTAGGCAATTCCTGCATCAAACAGGAATAGACTCCAAGCTCTCGTCAGCAAGGGGCCCAAGGTGATCAGCTGTGCAGCAAGGGAGATGGCAACACATCAAGGTTCAGGACACAGATTTCATTCCTTATCTTATTGGACTAGCTGCGCTGGATGTTGCTATGGGACAAGATCCATGTTTGTGTACAGTGCAACTCTCCAGGGTCAAGTTCCAGCTTCAGTCTTGCCAGTGACGCTGGTCCACTTCACCTGTCACGTAATGCTGTGGGACCAGTTCCTTCTCAGTTCCACTGCCACTGCTAGTTAAATGTGCCAGCTATCTGCTCAAGAGCCCTGCAGATCACTGAAATTATGCACTCCTTACCCAAAGACCTGTAAAGGTACACTACAGTCAAGGCAAATGAAGTTGGAGGGAATCTGAGAGGTTGACCTGCCCATGCACTTTTATGGTTCATACCAGGAGAAAGAGGGTGAACTCTTTTGAAATGGCTGTTCCTTCTTCCCCTTCTCACCTAAGCTCCTGTTCCGCTGTAGCACATTTCCTGTTCGCACACAAAGAGAAGCACAGGAGGATGGCTTATGGCTGCATCTAAGGCAACCTGTTCTCCTTCCTCAGAAGTGGACAGGAGCTGGGGAGGAAAGACTTTTGTGCCTCTCAGCTCCAGGTTCTGGAGAGCCTTTGGGCAAGACACCCTCCATGGACCCTCCCTCAGGGCTTATCCACACTTCCATTTGGTCCGTGACTTCTAGGCATGGATCCAATAGGTTTTTCTTTTGTCCTGCCATTTCCCCCAGGATAACCCGTGGTTTACTGCTGAATCAGAGCAAACGTCAATCAGGTTTTCTGTGGATTGACACTTGTTCTGATTCAGCAATAAACAGCAGATTTTTCCAGGCAAAGGAAAACCTATCAGGAGTCACAGACTAAAAGGAACAAAATCTGGGACAAAAGGAAGTGTGGGTGAGCCCTTAGTCTATCTCCTCATTGCAGGGGACCCTTGTTGTAGGCACCTGTGCAGAGGTGTCATTCCTCAGCAATGCCCAATCCTTGACCCTATGGCAAAAGAAGGCCAGGTTGCCTTTGATTCGATTTTCCTCCTCAAAAGATCCACCAATGAGGAAGTGGCAGGAGGAGGCTGTGTACGCACCAAACCTTTGAAGAAGTTCTAATGCACATGGCTTCCCCTCAAAAAACCCAGGGACTGTAGCTTGCCTCTCGCAAAGCTACAATTCCCAGAACCCTTAATAAACTACAGCTTTCATTATTTTTTTTTTCAGGTGGGATGTGCTTTAAACATACTTGACTCCAACTTGGATTTGAACAAATGGCACCGTTCCTTGGGAAATTGAGCAGTCACTGCTGCAAACACAGGCTGTGTACACACTATACGTTTAAAGTGTATCTAAAGAACATTCTTTCTCTCAAAAAAATCTGGGCACTGTAGTTTACCCCTCACAATTCCCAGCAACCTTTAATCTGTGCCCAGAATTCTTTGAGTGGGGGAATGTGCTTTGAATTTGCTTTAAAAGTTTATAGTGTATATACAGACACACAGAAAGTAGCTACTTTCTGGAAAGAGCCATTCTCTGGTAACCATCACCACCCAATTATTATTTTCCTACTGACCCTAGGAGAACCTCACAAACACTTATTGATCAAGCTGTGCTTTTGGTTCTTAACTAGGGAGAACAGGGTTTTTGAATGTTTAGGAGTTGTGTAAAAGAGGAGAGTTCACCAGAGAAAGCTTGTCATGCAAGGTACACCTGGCAAACTTCCCTCTTCAGCGCAACAATTTAATGGTTCAGGAACCCTGCCCTCTTTTTTGCATCTGGCCATCCCACTGACCTCAGGGATACCATTCCGTATTTCAGAGGAGGGGAGAGATTTCATGGAGAGGGCTAGACCCACAGCAACCATCCGGTCCAGTGTCAGTGTCTGGCACCCAGAGGAAGCTGCTATGGTTTCAGTGCCACACCATTGCCCACTGGCACTGAGGCCTGGTCTTGCTCCCTGGAGGGGTCTGCTGACTGTGTTGTGCAAGGGGCATTGTGGGAACTTCAAAAAACAGCAGCTAATAGCTGCTTTCTGCTGCTGCCTTCAAATAAGCTAAGGACTGGATGTAAAAAGAGTTCCACCAGATGGCACTTTGAGAGGCCCTTCAAACCTGGAGCCAACCCAGATAGCAAAAGCAATTCAGTTTGTAGAACCAGCAAACAGGTAAAAAATGGAACAGTGGACTTGGAGAGGTGCAATGGGGAAGGAGAACTGCCCCCCCAATAGTGCCCCCACTGATGCTTTCTGTGCTGAGGGGAAGGGTACCTGCTTTTTACAAGGACAGTTCTCAATGCACCCGGTTGCGCACTAGAGGGTGTGTGTGTGATGTGGAAAGCTAATGTATGGACAAGTTTTCCAGTGTCTGCCTGGAAGCAAGCACTGGCACCCCTGGGACATCTGGAACAAGAATGGAATCAATACCATCCAACACATGAAGATCAATGCTGTCTGGGAAACCAACCAGGCTATGCTTGCGCAAAGATAGAGAAAGCGTGTTGGTTTCCCCACCTGGCTCCCTGTTGCCTCTTCCTTGCCAGATTTCACAAACTTATTTGCTCAGCAAACATTTGGAGAACCCTTCATTGAGCTCCCCAAATCATTATCCACTTAGTTAAAAAAAACCAAGATAATTTGTTACCGTTATTGTGGTAGAATTTATAATAATGTTGGTCAGAGGGCAGGTCTCTGTTGCATCTGGTGCTAAAACAAGAACGGGACAGGGAGCAGGTGCTGTAAGTCCCCAGGATTCTTCTAACCCCCCCCCCATTTTTTCCTCTCATTGCAAAGAAATCAAAATAATGCTCTTCTAATGGTTCTGTCAGCGCAAGCATTTCAGCTTTTCAGACTGACCACCCCTCTCCTCCCCCAATGCGCTATTCTGAGGGTTCTCTTGATACACACATGGGAAGGCATGGGGGAGGATAGGAGTGAAAGCCCCACTGCGCTACCAGAAGGTCTTGCATGGGCTTCCACTAGCAGAACTCATTAGTTGAATCCCACCCTAAGGGTCCTTTATGCACATAGGTGATGCCAATGAGATTTTCAGGAATTTGCACAAGATTAATATTCATCGCCATGGTTTTCCCAGTAGTGATGTATGGAAGTGAGAGCTGGACCATAAAGAAGGCTGATCGCCAAAGAATTGATGCTTTTGAATTATGGTGCTGGAGGAGACTCTTGAGGGTCCCATGGACTGCAAGAAGATCAAACGCATCCATTCTTAAGGAAATCGGCCCTGAGTGCTCACTGGAAGGACAGATCATGAAGCTGAGGCTCCAATAATGCGCCCTCTTCTACTGCATGTTGCCAGGATGAGGCAAGAAAGAGACAGGGAGTGATGGCAGCTCAATGTCTCTCATTAACATCTTGCTTCACCTGAACCCTCCTCAAAAACCCTCCCAGGTTTTTCTTTCGGCTTTCCTCCAAATCCTTTGGGAGTTTTGCCTGGAAGGGAAACTTCAATTTTGCATCAGATTTCACTTTGCAAAATAAAATGTCAGTTATTTTCGTTTTCGTTAAGCAAATGCTAAACCTGCGCGAGGAGCAGCAAACGAGGCCTTTCCCCCCTCTTTCTACGGAGCAGCAACTGAGAGGAGGAAGCAGGTGGCTCGCAGGGCCACAGGCTCTGGCTGGAAAGGCATCTGGCTGAGGTATTTATAACCGCAAGGAGCCTCACATGAAAAGTGACTAAGAATCAAAGGGCTGTATTTTTAAACAAGCTTTGACGCAAGTGCGAACAAAGAGCTATAAATTAACCACCTACATCCCCCACGCTCTGTGCCTTTCCAGCCTAACAGGATGCAGGGCTGTTGAGGAACTAGGACTGCCTTGTCATCAACACCAAAATAAGACAATTTTTCACCTACTTTTCTGGAGGCCTACTGAAGCTGAAACTCTATATTTAAATACATGTGAAAAAATTATTTATTTATTCAATTTCTGTCCCACCTTTCCCTCCCAAAGGAGCGCAGGGCTGAGTGGCAAGCACATTGTTAAAAGCAGTATCATTAAAAACCTTCTAAAAATAGTTTCTATAGCATTCTAAAAGCAGTTTTAAAAATTCTCTCAGCCAAGGATTTCAGGGTTGCCAAGAACAGTATCTCTCAGCCATCAAATACCTTTGTAAATCAGGATTTATTTATTTTTTAAAAATCCAAAGTCTCCAATAAGGGAGACAGACATATCTCACCAAAGAGGCCGTTCCCCAAGCAAGGAAGAGCCACTGAGAAGGTCCCATCACAGGTCAACAGAAACCAGGCAGCCCTCAGTAGTGGCACCACAAGCAGGGCCTCTCCAGACATCCTCTTTATAGAGCAACTGCCCTGATTTACCTGAATACAGCTTCTGCAGAGGTTAGGTTATATCCGTTCTTTATTGAGTTTTCATTCTGATTTGTTTGTGAGGTGGTTATAACAGGCATTTGTCCTGCATTCATCTTGAATTGCTTGCATGGTGTTTATGCAGCCTCTGGATGGTCAATTGTCCCCACACTTTCCAAACAGCGAAGAGTCTGTTTCTTTTTAAAGTGGATTTGTTGTGCCAGGGCAGGGGCATCCAATGTGGCTTTGGACTCCAACTGCCAGTCAGGGATGATGGGAAGTGTAGTCCAAGGGCATCTGAAGGGCACCACATTGACTACCCCTGTGCTAGGGCGACACGGCACTTTAATCCCCTTTAACTGCACAAGTTCAGTATGCCCTTGAATCCCTCCTGCAAAATAGTGACAGTGAATATGAAGCATAAGTGAAACGTAAATAAATTCTGCAGCGGTCAATATAGATAAGAAAATCCGCGTAAGAGTGCTATCCTATACAAGACAAACTGAACTCAGTGAGACTTACATACCTCACACATCATTTTATTTGTTTGCCACCTTTCCATAGTTAAAATCATGTTCATGTTCAAGACGGCTTACAACATGAAAAAAATTACATAACAAAAATAGTCATAAACTAGGGTTGCCTAGGGAAAACCTGGACATGTCCTCTTTTGGGGGCCCAACATGCCCACCCGAGAGGATTTTTACATTTTAAAGGAAATGTCTGGTTTGGGGGAGTTTTTTATTTTTTATTTTTAAAATAAAGATACAAAGGATTAATATAAATAACAGCCACAACCCTGCTCCAACAACCCTCCCCAGCCTAAGAGTCTGTTCAGCAGCCTCACTTTTTGTAGCTGGAGTCAGTCAGCCCACACTCTCCCAGGTCAAGCCCTGCAAGGCAGGGAGCAGGTCTTCCAGGAGTCACATCCAAGACTTGCTCCCAAATAAGAGAGTAGAGGATACTACTTTTTTCAGTTATCAGAGTAACATAACTAAGTCTGCTTGTCTCGGGAAATAGCAAAGATATACCATATGTGCAGCATGTATACTCTGGTCCCTAAAAGTTGCACCTCATTCCAGCTTTCAAAATTGCATGAAATATTTTTGTTGTCATAAGGACTAGAAATGTTTGAGTGAAAGATGGGATCTCAGGTTGATTAATTCAGCCCCTCAAAACCTGTTCTCTATATATCACTTACAGCTTTGTCTTTCCCTGTTCCCTGTTTTCAGTCTAGCAAGGAAAAAAAAGATTATCTTCCATTGCAATTTCTTTGCATCCATAAACCTATTAAAAACAAATATTAATAAAATCACCATCATGAAATTCAAATATAAAATCAATAAAACTTTTAGAAGAAATATTGGTAGCTAAAATCATGCTTACTGCAACAGAGAAAGTTTTCAGCAGGCATGTAAAACACTGTGATGAGGCTGCTGACTAAAGAGTGCAGGTGCTGCAGCCACACTAGAGAACCATCTCCTCACAAATGTGGAACAGACATTCTGAGGCACTTGTAAAAGTGCAGGTTCCACAGATTGAAGGATCAGATAAATGCACATTTGGGGCAAGGTGAACACCTTTATTTTAACTGCAAGATAGACCCAAAAGAGAAAATAACAGAACACCACTAGTAATCACATGCAGCTCTCAATCAGAGATTCGCAACATCTCTTAGATAATGGCAGCTCTCTTTCCCAAGCTCTGGGAGGAAGACCTTTCATTGCCTACAGAAAGCCACCCAATCTTAAACAGCTCCTCACACACAATAGTACAACGAACAGACTTAACATGGACACTGGCACAACAGCCTGCAAAAAATCTAGATGCCAACTTTGCTGCTACATCATTATTGGCCCCAATAACTTCAAACATACCATCTCAGGCCTATTTAATTGTTCATCTTCCAACATTATATATGCTATCAAATGCCAACAGTGCCCTTCAGCTCTCTATACTGGACAAACAGGACAAACTTTATGCCAAAGAATAAATGGGCATAAATCTGACATCAGGAATCATAAAACAGAAACCAATAGGAAAACACTTCAGTCTTCCAGGACATTCTATACAAGATCTTAAAGTAGCTGTCTTATTGCAAAAGAATTTTAGATTTACATTTAAAAGAGAAGTTGCTGAATTACAATTCATTACTAAATTAAAAACTATGGAGAGACCTGGTCTGAATAGAGATATTGGGTTCATGTCCCATTATACATGCTAAAGCTAATTCTGGTCATCTATCCCTTTAAAAATGCCTTGCCCTTCCCTGTGGAACCAACTGCCATAACAGTCATCAACAGTTATAAGGCTGAAGCGACCTCTGCTTCAGAGTATCTGACAAAGTGTGTATACACACGAAAGCTCATACCTTGAAAGCTTATATTTAGTTGATCTTAAAGGTGCCACTGGAATTATTAAAAAAAGTTTTTTTTTCATCTTTCACCTTGTTATTTATTATGGTCCCAAGCTCTTAGTGGTACCATTTTGCCTCAACCTGAAGGTGTCTTTTGAAAGCTCCATGGCACCAATGCAGTTATGCAGCCACTTTCCACCCACCGCAGCTTCTCCAACGCCAGCCCCTTCTGCCTGCTGTGGCAAGCAGCATTTGACTTCTGTCCCACAAGCCGTGGGAAAGACGTGGTGAAATGGCCGGCGAGGAAGCAGAACAGCTGGTGGTCAGCATTTGAAGAGACAAGCAGCACTAGATTCACACTTGGCAATGTTTCAGATCTAAGCCTCGTAGCCAGCACTAAGCAGTCCCTATGCCAAAATCAAGACACTGATAGTTGCTTTTGAAGAATTTCCTGCCAAAGTCAATAACTGCAAGGTCCAAGCCACTAGGCTGAAATTTTCCCAAGGTCTTCATGTTTGTTGCATGAAAGGCTAATTTTTAATTTTACTATCAAGAGTGTTATTCGACTCCACCATCAAGGTTATCTTCATCCCCCTCCCAGGTTCACTGTGGAAAGGAAGCTGTACAGCAGTGCATATAGCTTGGTGGAACAGCAGGTGCTTCAATGCAGGAAGAATCCGGTTGAGTCCCTGGCATCTCCAGTTAACAAAATCTGGCATCAGCACTGAGAAAGACCCTTCTTTGCCTGTGACCTTAGGGTGCTTCTGCCAGCCAGAGTAGACAAAACTGAGCTAGATGGAGCAAAGGTCTGCATAAGGCATTTTCATATAAAAGCCAGTTCACAGGAACAATCTGTTTCCCACTCAGCTTTGGAGGGGCAGAGTGGGGGGGGGGGGTGAGGCCTGCACGCAAAGGAGTGCTCAAAACAAAAAGCATCAAAGAAAAAAGCTTACATGGTAAAGAGTGGCAGAAAACTAACCAAATATATAAATACAAGTATATGACGAGATTTTTTTTGTTACTATTACAAAGCCAATGTAAATTACAGTGTTAAAAAGCCCACCCTGAAAAATCACGCTGGTTCGAAAGGCAGTACCTGCCAGCTAATAAAGTACAGCATGAAGACATTAAACTTTAACAATGCAATCAACAAATGTCATTATAATGATAAAATTACTATATATTATAGAGCTCAATGGGAGACGGTTCAACCCGCCCACTTCACTGCAGGCTAATCATTTGTAAACTGCTTAGAAGTCTTTTGTTCAAGTGGCTAAATAAAGCATGGGCATAAGACCGAGTACCTGAACACATCCTGGAATCAATGCTGAAGAGTGAAGAGGATGACTGTCACACCTGTGTGCTCTCCATAGGTCTTGGGCCAGCACTGCCAACGGTGAGGGATGATGGGAACTGGAGTCCTAAACATCTGAAGGGTCATAGGTTGGGGAAAGGTGGCGAAGAGGGTGAGTTCTCTGAGTTTTTGCTTTAAGATGCTAACCATTTCAAGTTCTGCAATTGCTCCAAGTTTTGCTGGTCTCAAGCAGCTAGATATAATAATATTTCTTGGCTGCAGGTGCATCTGTAAATAAGAACTCATTGAACTCAAGTTATTTTAGGCAGCTGAAATAGATGCTGTCATTGCAGGCATATTTTGTGATACACATTATACAAACGTTAATTACAAACATTATATAACATTCACATTATATACAAACATAACCTATAACTGCTGAATCTCTATAATGTCAGCAACAGGACAAAAATACCTTCCAAAATAAAAGGGTTAATTTCATCAAAAATAACAGCCTATGAAAAACACTGTAATATAAGTTTACAATCACTATGTGGTTTAAAATTCAGGTGGTAGCCGTGTTGGTCTGACGCAGTTGAAATAAATAAATAAAATGTCCAGTAGCACCTTAGAGACCAACTAAGTTTGTTCTGGGTCTATTTATATATTTATGTGGTTTTAATCAAAGATACCCAAAAGGAATGACAGAAAAACAGAAATATCACAAAGAGCCAGCCAGCAACTTCTCAAAGCAAAAAAAAAAAAAAAAAAAAAAAAAAGACACTGAAGTAACAACATGTATATGCCACTTGATTGTACAAAAACTTCTAAGCAGTTCACCAAAATATCAACCAAAGCATTAAATTATCAATAAAAACAGTTAAAAACAGGTATTTGAAGATATTCAATAGACTTCAATAGCAGCTAAAAAACCCACAAACAACGTGTAACATCCAATTGTCCGGATAGGCTTGCCTAAGCAAAAAATGTTTTCCGCAGTCAGCACAAAGAGCAATGAATGAGCCTGACAGATGTCAATAGGAAGGAAGCTCCAAAGTGTGGGGACTGCCATACAAAAAGACACTTATCTTACAAATGTGGCACCGATAACACTGCCAGTTCCTCAGACTGAAGCAGTTGAAAGAGCATATATTGCAATTTCTGGAAGCCCCACACAGAGTGCATGGCGGCAGTCCTATCTTGAAGTCACCAACGCCTGGACCACTGCGGCCAAGCTCTCTTGATCCGAGAATGGTAATGGGTCATTCCATGCCAAATCATCTGATTTTAATACTCAGCCATGTTCTCACGACTCATATTTTCTTCAAAAAAAAAAAAAATTATGTGTAGATACCTATGAGATAAGCTCAAAACAATATTTTAAGATATTTTTGGTCCAAAATTGGGTGCAGGAGAATTTTTTGAAAATTTCGGTTTTTGTGAGATTTAGCCTAATGCAATTTCTGCATCAGTGTAGAAAAAACCTCCTGTTTCGCTTATTTTTCAACCAATTGGGCTTATTTTGGTATCAAAATAAAGCTAATTGTGGTCTCTTTCAAAATAAGGTACAAAAAGGGTCTTAAGTGCCACAGAAAAGGGTCACCAACTATTCAAAGTGAATTTTTGTTCTTCCCGGTAGGTTCGATAAGCCATAGCACGCAAACCACAACTAACACATGTTTCATACTTTGTTGTAGAATGAGCTAACTATGTACTTGTTATGTTTTAAAAATAAGGAGGGTGTTTTTTGCGGTTATAAAATAAATTGATTTTTTTTGGACAGGTTTAAGGTCTCTTTTGAGCCTGAAATAACTCACACATTCGTGAGAATAGTTAAAATGGTACCCTCTTATGTTACAATGTCATCCGAAGTTATTTTAAAAAGTTTTTTTGCTTATTTAATAAAAACAAAATATATCTCAGAGCCCTTGTTCATTTTATGGTGTAAAACACTTCTGCAATGATTTGGTCATTTTTTGTGTTGTTTTTGTTTGTTTTGTTTCTCAAAGGCCATAGCTCTCATTTATTGCCTCGGTCATCAAACTGATGATTTTGCCAACAAGAGACCCTCCTTTTCTGTGGCACTTAAGATCACTTTTATATCTTATTTTGAAAGAGACCACGATTAGCTTTATTTTGATACCAAAATAAGCCCAATCGGATGAAAAATAAGCGAAACGGGAGGTTTTTTCCTACATTGATGCAGAAATTACATTAGGCTAAATTTTCAAAAAATTCTCTTGCACCCAATTTTGGACCAAAAAACTTAGTTATTTTGAGCTTATCTCATAGGTATCTACACATAAAGGTTTTTTTGGAGAAAACCTGAGTCGTGAGAGCACATGGCACCAGGTGATTTGGCGAGGAATGGCCCCAATACCTCTTGTACCAGACACAGCAGGGAAAAGGCACTTCAGCTGAGCCTACCTGGGCCTCCAGAGACAAAGCTGAATCCAGAAGTCATGCCTTTTATCAAAGGCAGATGTAGGGGAGTGTGACCAGTGTGTTCACACCAGGCATGGAGCTTCTGGGCACCACAACTATGAGATCCAATGGAAGGCGAGAGGCAGGTGGCACAGGGTGCTACGAAAATTTGAGACACCAAGGTCCACCTCTGCTTTTATAGAATATGAGCAGCTGTGGCCCCAGTCAAGATTGTGAATCAAGATGGCTTCATATAGAAGTAACACAATACAGAGCATTTTTGCGAACCACAAAATGCCGCCTCCGTGCCACCACCAGGGAAGATCTACATCTGGAATGAGGGGGTGAGTGAAGATCTACATTGGAAATGGGGGGGGGGGGTCAAACAGTTGGAATCAAAGACTATTGCAGGGTGTGGGGAAGGGGCTTGCTCTGAATCACCCTGGGCAGGTGCAGAGAGCAGGAGACCCCAAAGGGCAGCCCCCGCCATTTCTTCCTTAGGGGTGGAAGGAGACTGGCAGCACCTCCTATTTGTCAAGAGACTGCTGTAGAAGTGACATTGGCGGATGAGTTGCCAAGGAGGTGGCACATCTGGCCTCCAAGGAGCGCACCACAGCCCTCGCTGCCATCATAGCAGTAGCAGTGGGTGACGCATTTCTTGGAGGCCAGATCGGCCGCCCCTGTGGATCCTGCCACTCAAGGCAGTTGCCTCACTTTGCCTCATGGGTGGGCCGGCCCTGACACATTATTCAAATCAAACCAATTACATTCATAATCAAAAACATGTTTTAACTGATAGAAAAATGGACAGCTTTGATCAGAATGCCGAAACTCTATACAACATTACTTGTCCTGTTTTTGTGCATGGAGATTCCTGTTCTCAGGATCTAGTTCAACCTTTTGGGGGTCAAATGCTGCATTGGTATATGGCCAATCCTATGGGGGCCAAAGTGTAAAAATGGGCACGAACACTTAAAAAAGAAATTTAATGACAGCTTTGGGGGGTCTTGGCATCACAGCAGGAGATTCGTGGCAGCCAGTGTAGGAGGGGATCAAGGCAAGAGAGGATCATGATGCACAGCGGGGCTGAGGAACCTGTGGCACTTGTGGAACTCCAGCCCCCACCAGCATGGGTTTTCTGCAAGAAAGCGGCGGGGAAATGTAGAAGTGTGGAGGGCTGGGAGACTAATTGTTATTCCCAACACTGCCACTGGGTGGCAATAGAGTTGCAGTACATTGCTTCTTTAGAGCAGTGTTTCCCAAACTTTTTTGGGCAACGGCACACCTGTTTACTGAAAAAAAATCTCACGGCACACCACCATTAAAGCCCCGCCCCGTGACGTCAGCGCGCAGCGTCACGCCGGGAGGGACGCACGAAAGTGAAAGTTTTTTCCCTCCCCCTTGCCGGGGAACCTCCAAGCTTTGGGGGTGGGAGGAGGCAGCAGAGCAAGGGACTGAGGGACGGCGGCAACTGAGGCGGCGGCGGCTGTTGTGGTGGTGGCGGCGATAGTGGGCGGAGGAGGGGGCGGCGGCGGGGCTTGAGGAGCCGTCGCCGGGAGTTGCTGCTGCTGTTGTTGCTGCTGCTGCCCGGACATGCCGGCCTCCTCCTCCTCCGCTGTCTCGCGCTCCTCCCTTTTGCACGCGCTGCCCCGCCGCTCGGCACCACCACCGCGGAGCCGCCCCCGGCTCGACGCGGATCCTCGCCGCCGCCGCCTCTCACCGCCCAACTCGCCCGCCTCCCTCCCACGGCACACCAGCCAATGTCTGACGGCACAGTAGTGTGCCGCGGAACACCGGTTGGGAAACACTGCTTTAGAGTCTGTGCAAATTATCAATCAGTATCAAAACAGCAGAAAATCAGAAGAAGGATCTAGATCAGTGTTTCCCAACCGGTGTTCCGCGGCACACTACTGTGC